AGCGCATCGACTCTCACATCTCACAACACACACACAGTACGATATTGTGAGAGAGACAATCTAAATGAGTCCATTACCGCAACCATCAAACGTTCAACTGAATTAAAAAGGAAATCATGCAACTGGCGAAAGAAAAATGAACGAAAAAAAAACAAATAGTTGTAATAATGTAGACTGGCTTCAATGAAAAACGCAACTTGGTCTTTGTTTGACGGTTTTTTGAGCTTGTTTGATTCGAAGCTGATATGAAAAGAGCAAAAAAATGTTGTTGTCAGCCATAATAATAACAAAAATAATAAAGAATCATCCAGATGCGACATATAGAGTACAAAATGGTTTGCATGTAACAAAGCGGTAAGCATAAGTGAAGAGCTACGTACATAAGTAATATTGTGAGTCTCAAAAAAGAGATACGGATAGAAATAGAAAAAAAGCTATCATTTTCTAAACCAGTATTCAGTTTATTAGTTGAAATTGAAAAAAACCTCCAGTCTATTCCTGAATGTGTGTGCATCTTCCATTGACGAAAAAAGTGTATCGATCGAAATCGAGATTTATTGCTGCTGTAATTTATACGTTTGTACGATGAAAATACAAAAGGCCAGCATCGTATTCAAAATACTGTAGACACAATCGACAGATACGTATAACATCGCAGTATTGAAGGGACAACCAGTTTTATTTGAACACGCGCCAACGTTTAATGAGATAAATACACAAAAAAATTAGCAACTGCAAAAGAGGGAACATGCAGACACTCAGATTGTTGTCGTGATAACGGTTTCACTTTCCGCATCAACTGCTCGTCACCCAAAAATGGGAACAATCACTCGGTTGAAAGATACTCATTATTACTGTCAAATTTGTATCTTTTGTTGATATTAGCAATGAGTGAGTGGCCGCATGATTCCCCAAAAATCCAAAAAGAAAATAATTTTACAATCTTTTTCGCTAATTTATCTTCACTTGTTCAGTTTTGTATTCTCTATCAGCTTCTTTCTAAAAAAAATTCCGAGCTTAAAACCAGATAAATTTTAATATTTTGATGAAAAAAAATGTGGAAAATTTTCCAGCATCCGAGTGAGGAATCGCGAGAAAAACTGATTCATTCGTTTAAGAGAAGAAATATTTAATTTAATTATGCGTGTAGCATGTTTTTTTTTTTCAATTCTAAACGAAATACCGTCAGTTAAATACAAATAACGGAATATATTAAGTTGACCAATAACCATTGATAATAAAAAAAACTGGAAATATTTAATGTGCGACATTAAGAGTGCAACGGAAGTGTACGTGATGATCAAAAAATGAATGTGCTTTTTTCGTCACAATCTCCGCTTAGGAACAGAGCATCTGCACTCTCGCAACCATTTTGCTATAGGATTACGGAAATTTCAACCAATTTGTCGCACATTTACAAATCGATTAAACGCCACGGATGTAAATGAACGGATTTGTGTGTCAATTTCATTTTTCAGTAATGTTTCTCACCAAATTACAACAACATCATGCTCTGCTTTTATTTTCTGTTGTTTATTCGAACCAATTTCGTTTTTTGAAATAAAAAAAGCGCCCAATTTATTATTGCGCGACACGCACTCTCGCACTTGCAATCGCAACATAAATACATATACCGTTTATATATAGTGAACGTAACCGGCACAACGGAATCAACTGGAGAAGAGATGAAAAAGAGACCAAAATGGTTGAACTAAAAAAAAATCAAAAGCCAGCGTAAATAAATGATACTTTTTGAAAGACTTTCCAATAATTTGATTAAATTCGCATTTTTCCCCTTTGACCACGCGTGCAACCAAACCAATTTCATTCTACTTTTCCCAATTTTCCAATTCAAAACATTTTATGATGTGACGTACACAAGAAAAAATGGCAATTGTTTCTCCATTTCTCACTCTATCTTTCTAGAAACATAAACGATCATAATATTTGCCACATGTTTTTTTCTTCTATTCAATTTTTTGTTGTCTGTTGTTACCGAAACAAAACCCGGTAATGACAAAAATTGTTCAACGTCATCCTTTTACACAATAGTTTAATATTTTTATCGCGGATTCGTGCGTCACATTTATTCTTTTTGTTCGGTTCAAATTCAATTTCGTTGGCACATGGTAATATCTCCTGGAGACAAAAACTCGATTTCAGGTGTACGAATGTCGATGATGAGTATTTGTGTTTCATGCACGATCACGATCACGCCGAATCGACAAGCAATTCCAAAAACAAACAAACAACTAATGATAATAATTGTAACGATTCGCACTTAGACACTTTCATGCATCAGTTGAATTCATTCAATCGATTCCGATAGACAAAATTGAAACAAAATTACAAACAAAAAACATGATGTAATATTTATGAAATTAGTATTCTAAATAGATAATTCAATGGGTCTAGCAAAGCAAATTCGGTTGTCGTTCGAATAATAATTTAACGTTCTGTTTTATGTATGTTTCGTTTTGGATTTCGTTTATGTTTCCCTCCAAGTGATGTTTCGGCAAAAAAGTAATAATTATATTTGGTTTTCGTTTTTTGCTTTGATTTCGAGAGCGAACTCTCTCATTCGTATGTGCGCTCAATCATTTGCAAAGAATTTCAAATAAAAGTGACAGGAATTTAAATCAAGAACACACACATTCATTCATACAAATTGTTTCGCATTTAATTTTCGCAGCGCATTTGCCAATTTCATGTGTTTCTCTTTATTTTCATTTTTCGCAAAGTGCATTTACCTTATTCCGGCATGAATATATTTTGCATTAACTCGCATATGCCACTGAATACAAATACTGAATATTGATTAATAAATAATATTCGATTAGCTGACGCGCACTATTAAAAATCATCAATTATCACGTATTTTAAATGGTTTGATATCGGCTTATATTCTATCCGGCGATAGAAATATAATATCGCCCCTCTTGCATATACCACCCTGAAAACAACGTTGATGCAGCAATACTCGATTATTAAATGAAACGATCGTTTTACTTCAACATTGAAGTCGTTAGCTTCTTCTTAGATCATCGTTTAGCGATGATTTGATGTATACATGATTTTAGCATTTTGTATCTAATTGAATGCGGCAACCTAGGAGGCAACGCATGACATGAACTTAACGCAATCAATAAATGAAAAAATGAATATTTGATGATTCCAAGTGTGATACAAATTGAATTCGAACAACGGCAATGCAAAAACTGATGACGATGACGACAGAGACGAGAAAATCATTCATTCAAATACATTTTTAGAATGTTTTTATTTTCAAAGAACGTGCAAAACAAGTTTTTTTTTCTCGACACTTCAATACTTTGGCCACTTGTTTTCTATACGTTTCTGGTGGTTGATCAATAGTTCTACGGGTTTGAAAAAAAAAAACATAAAAAGGCATTAAGTAACGTTTTCAATTTGAATATACAACTTTTTTGTCGATTTGCGATGCAAACCAATTCTGATTCATAGCACTTTGCAATGATTGAAATTCAACAGCTCAACATCATTAAATTTCAAAACAATGTTGATGTTGATTCGTTACAAAGAAAAATCGTCGCATTTTATTGAAATGAAAAACTCTTCCGCTTGTCAAAGGCTTTATCGATGCGCACGAAATGCGCATTGAAATGATTTTGCAAACTAAGCATTCCAGTAAAAAATTCCAACGCAATTTGGTGAATGTGTGCGATTAACGCGGCATGCGTTTCTCAATTTGGCAAAATCAAGTCGATCACATTCGTGTGCAATATGTGCAATTTGAAGTGTGTTGTCGATCTGAAATTTGTTATGTGTGAGTTTTTTTTTGTTTGCTCTCGCACTTTTTCTGTTGTTTATTTTTGCCCATTAAACTTGTCAATCAAGTATACACACGCGTACACATACTACGTATGAATGACCGGCAAATACGGGTGCAAGACTAATAGCAATATTCTCCAATGTAATGTTTATTTTTAGCACAATATTCGATCCAAAAATAGGTATTTATCTATATTTATTGAATGGCGAACCGAACTTGGAGTAAACAAGTGACATAGTAGTAGTCATCAAAACGGTTCACTTGGCGCGAAATGTGTGAAAGAAATTATGAGTGAAAAAAAAACTTTCATTTTGTATCACACTTCAAGTTGCTGATAAATAAGAGATACACCGTACGCAGTCTCTAAGCCGCACCAATCGGTTTGAGTCCAAAAACGCTTTTATGACCCATTCTCGTTATTACAAATATCAAGTAAACAACAATCGAAAAATAAAAACATGAGTGAGGGTAAAATGAGCCGAATATGCGTGTGTCACAGAACTGATTCAATGTGCAGACAATAGACATATTTCGACATTTCAACGGTAAATCCGTGCTCATTTTTAAAACAAATACACAATAAATGGAATTAAGAAAAAGCGAAAGAGAGCTACTTAAGGTATTAATTCGCCTCTCCCTCTACCTATCGTACTTTAAGCATATATAGGTGGATTTAGTGGATTTTCTGCGATGATAATATAAAAAAACCGAATAAATAAAAGTAAAATGAGTCATTGGTAGTCATCATTTGGTTTGTTGTGGTTTATCTACGCTTTATGTTTTAACCAAAAATGACTCGAAATCCGTAGATCCACACATGACGTAAATGATTTGGGTGGATCGAGTGAGAGTTCATTGTGTCATTGATTCGATTCGTGTTGTCTTCCATGCCATCATTTCAATGGCAATGCCCTTAAACCTCGAAATCAAATTTAATTCTTTATTACCCAAAATAAAGCGATGAGCGTTTACAAAGAAGCTCACTGACAATCATGGTAATGCGTACAAGGATTTTTACCGTAAAATTTAACTCCATTTTCCACATTCACACATTTAATGATCTTGATTTCCGCTATTTTGCGAATTTAACTTTGTTCCGCTTTTAATTAAAACCTGTCTATATAAAACAAAATTTTTTATTGTCTCTCCCTTTCCATATCTGATTTAAATGCTGATTCGGTGAATGTAGCTCGTGATTCAGTGATGACATCGGCCGGTGGAGTTGGTTTATCATCCATAACAGTGTCACCAATTTATAAATCATCACAAACAGTCTCACATCAATCGATATGTTATGCTGAAACCGAACATGTGCTCAGCGTAAATGGTAAAGAGTCAAGCATTGTATTGGATTTAGAACCGAATCGCATCCAATTGGGACCATGCAAGCGAATATTCAAAGCACCCGAACCGCATGGATTTATCGTAAAATTGCTGAAATTCAAATCGAAACAGATGAGAAATCCAAACAGTCATATTGATACCAATATTGGAGGTGTGTCAATTGATGTTTTCAACGAGACAACAACGTGTCCATTGAACATTGTAAGTTATTTATTATTTTTTGTTTTTCGAAATTATTGTTGTTTCTTCTTTAAAAAAAAAATACTGCGTCTATTTAATATGTTTATTGCCTACTCTTTCCGCGTATCGTATGAGTGCCGGACGCGCGCATATTTTTTTTTAATATCGTTTTATGTAAATAAATTTATAGTCACCTATAAACATCTCTAGATCTACCTTCTTGTATCTTTTAGTCATTTTCCCACATGTGCGCATTTAATATGTTTCATCTTCGGTTCGCATTTTATGTGCAAAACCTTGTTTCCTGTCTGTTTGTGATACGGTGTATGTGACACAAAACACATCACCTCTTTAAGAATTATCTCCAATGTAAATCGTGTGTATGAGTGCCTCTTGTGTGTGTCTGTTCTTTTTCTTCTCTCACTGCCTTTGTTCAACGCAAGTAGATGCTTTGGAGTGCTTCTGTGAATTTCGATTGAATGTTGTTCATTCGGGCGATGTAAGACGGCCGCAGACTGGCTCACACGGCAATGAGCGTATCACAAATTTAGCTGTATGAGAATTTTATTTGTGATGCAATCGAAAAAGAAACCATCACACATACATAGATACTGTTTTTAATGAGTTGTTCATACATGCTTGTCGAATGATTGCGATGCTCACCACAAATGACAATGGTTTAATCATTTCAGTTGAAATTTACCATAAAACTTCAAAAAATAAATCGGCAATTAGTGCGCATAATTTAATTGTTTACCATCGTCTCATCGTAATTTTTTTCCTTTTTATTTCGTATTGATATGAAAGAGACTTCTTAACTTATTACCAAAATCAATTTATTTTTCCATCTTTTTCTAACATTCATCTAAATAGAACAATAATTTACGCATTTATAAACAATACACGAATGTCCGGATCATGTAACGCGTAATTTGAATGTCGATTTAGATGAGAAGTAAATCTACAATATCCAAAACAGATCACAATATGAATGCATATTTAAATATCTCGTTTCACAAAGTACACAATGTTAAAACGTTTGTTTGTCTTCCTTTTGTGTGTCTGGCTTTTGTTATTGTTTACTACGATCGTTATTTTCACAGTGAGAGTACACGATGTAAATGTGGAATAGTAAAAGATATAAAACTCAAGTGTGAATATATTTTTAGAATGGGACGATTTGGACGATTTTGTTAATACAGAATGGACATATATGATTTATTGATCAGCATGTGTTTAACACCAGAAAAATAAAATCCTTCGTTTTGGCTTATTATAAGTTATTTCCCAATTTAAACAAAAAAAAAATTTGTTGTTGCCTCAAGCACACACTCGAAGTAATAAATAAACCGCGTAATATTTTTATAGCGAGTATGTATAGTGTCAATTCCAGTACAGTAATCGATACTGGCTGACTGATTGACAATGTATGTTCATTGTTAATGAACACAAAATATTCATTATTGTGATAGTGATCGACTACGTTTAAATTTATATCTAACAACCAGATTTGGCATTCGGAAAACAAAGTGTGTGCCCCGTCAACCAAACATCAACGTTTATATGTACATACACGACGAAACGAAAAACTAAAAAACAAACAAACAATTTTACTGAAAACGGCATTTGGGTTAGAATTATTTCATGCTGACGATCGCAATTTTTTTTGTTGCTATTGCCTCTAACATACCGAGTTTATATATCGGAAAATTTGATCTCGACATAGATTTTGAAAGCTATACGAGCAGAAATTGCGATAAAATAACACATGGCTAAGTAAGTAAATTGTTGAGTTTTCAAGGTAGAGAGACGCAAACAATGCATGTATGCATATGGATCGCGAATGCGCTGACGCGTGCGCGCACTATATGGACACGTCTCGAGCAAAATACACAAAAAAAAAGTAACGCGGTGCGCTTACTCACAATGATTTCAATCAGTGAATGAAACTGTAGAAACGTATTCAACGGACATTTTTATGAGATATTTAATATTTATATGTTATTCATCACTGTTTGCAAAACTAAAAATAATTTCTACATTCCTCTTTTTCCGTCCGAAAAACGATTTTTATTTTGTTCATTCTCCAACGAGGACGAATCACAAACAAAGAATTGATTAGTTACATTGACATTTTTGTGTCTAATATTGTGTCATAAATAGAAATGGAATATTTGCATATGCAACGCGGTAACTGTCGCGAGTCATTCTACTATTGATTTTTATCGCCCATTTTACCGAATGGGCAATAATTTTTAATGGTCATCTCTGTCTCTATCCTGCACATATTCACAATTGCACACACGCACACAAACACTTGATTATCAACTTTTAATATTTTACAATCGATTACAATGCAAAATAGGAGTTTCGCTTCAAATTCATTACCATATAAAATGCGATGGATTTGTTTTTTTTTTTTCTATCTCTCTTCAAATTGGCAAAAATAATTAAAAAATGAGATAGAGAGAGAGTGAAAGAGAGAAAAAAGTGTATGTGCTTGGAGAAATCATATGAGTTGTGTGGTTGTGAGTGTGAGTTTGTGTTGTGATTCGAATGCGAGACTGGATTTTGATGTGGCTGGCTGGTTGGTGTAAACGAAATTCAATTTGATTGAATGCGCGCAGACGAGAAAAAAAAGATATTATTAAGAGCAACAAACAAACAACTTAAAAATAACCGGTTTTCTAAGAATATATGGCCGATGAATGTGAAGAATGTTGCATACAATGCATCTGAATTATGGGTGTTCGTAAATGTGGGCATTGGCCATTCTCAAACGTGTCCTGTCTTTTTTGTTCATGACACCTCACCACCACCATCACCATCACCATCACAGAGAGACACGATTGACTGCATGCGCTTGAATTGCTGTCAAATACACAAATATCAATAGACATGCATCGATTAAACAAGAAACGATTTGCGCGCACGCTCAAAAACCATCGCCATGCGCGACTTCTCTCTCTGTGTGTGTTTGGCCTGTTTATAATTAGCCCATGTCGTGAAATCAAATGAACCGGCGTCATCATAAATGCAATCACTGGGCCGCTGAGAAGAGACAGAGACTGCCAATTTGTACATATTATTTATCAAAGATTTGCTAATAATATTATGAACAAATTAAGTAGTTACGATTTTTTTTTTCTGTTCATGGTCTCGTGCATTTATTTATGAAATAGTATACAATTGGAAAGAATCGAGCGGGAGAGCGATTCATCAAAGAATCAAATTTAAAAAAAACCATGAGCATGACTTAATGACGCCAAAGACTCTAATCAAATAACAATATAGGAAAAAGAACACAAGCACGCCTGCTTTTACACATGATTATGCGGGAAGAGGAGCACATACATAATATACAATCATTAGAGTCAGTCTTTGGAAATTATTCAAGAATTTTTCTTAAAAAAAAAACAAATCTTAATATCAGCGTATGTATATCTGTTGTTCGTGTTTGATAGCCATAGTGGTAATGGCCCTTGTGTGAATTACCGATTCACTAGGTGCTCATGACATATTTTACTTCGATCAACCATGTTTGCGTGTGTACTCTCGGGTACTGAATTTAACGATTACACGTGGATTTGAAATCAATTAATGTCGACTATTAATCATTGCTTGTGACATGGATTTTTTTTTCTTTTGTTAAAAACAGGAGTTAATCCAGGTGCAACGCAATAAATTCCATTATAAATTATCATGACGATGATGACGAGAATTGAGAAACGATTGAAATGATTCGTACGATGGACTGTCTCAGAAAATCGATGCAATTATTGAATGGCGACCGACATACCTACATTTCGGAACCATTCAAGTACAAACACATATGATATGCAAGTGAACCGCAACTCAAAATGACCGTCAATGAATGAAAAATCTTGCACAAAAAAAGCAAAAAAATCCCTTCCAATCGTGAGCATGCGTGTGTGTGTCCAAAGCGATTGATTTCGTGATTTCGTTGAAAATGTTTTGTTTTTGATCATTGCATACGCTTGGAAAGCGTTACGAATCTCATAAAAAACGTTTGAAAAGTAATTCGAATCTCATGCAATGTTTGTCTATTAATAAAAAGGCGCCGCCAAGAAATGTCTACAAATTTGAAGTGATTTTGTTGTTGTTGGTGTTTTTGGTCATTGGTCGCCGTCGTTTTGCCTGAATCTCTGCGTAATATTATTGCGTGTGAAATATAAACAATATTTGCTGAAAGCTTCCATATTAAAACTGACTAGTCACGTAAGCCGACCAAACCAAAACACAAAAAAAAATTGACGACAACAACAACAACCTTAAGCTGTCTTCGATATCTGTGCGCGCATTTTAAGGTGCGATCATATACGGAATCATAGATTTACTTGTTGCCAAGTTATTCATTCGCTTCGATCAACGATCGCTTCTCATTCGAATTTGTATTGGTGCGAGCATGTTTCTCGATGTGTATGTGTCTTTTTTTTGTTTGCCCGCCATTTCCTCTGCGCCCAAACATCAAAACAAACACGAATTGGTAAAAGAGGTATTAAACAATAATGGCAAAGGTATTAAAAACGAAGCGGACGACACCAGCGCAGCAGTAGTAGAAAAAAAGTGACAAAAGTGCCGATGAATTGAAGGTCTTTCCGTCCATTTATTGTTGAAATATACTATACAGAGATGTTTGGATCTTTTTTTTATCTATAAAGCTCTTAAACTATGTGTACGCTGAGCTAAGTCTCAGCTGTATTTGTGAAAGAAACAAACAATGCGAAAATGAACGAAGAAACGAACAAAAACATACAATGTGTATTGAGTGTGTGACTCAAGTTGAGTTCAACCAAGACGACAATAAAACTGTTTCATTGTGTCGGTGTGGTACACACAGAGTTCGCACAATTTAATGTGCAAGCATTTCTATTCTTTAAACATAAATTAGCTCAAGCACACCGATGTGTGTATGTGTGTGTCTTTTTGTTCAATCATCGGTATTCCGAAACGTTCCAGATTTTTTGCATTCGACCGCAACATTTTCGAAATTCTCCAAGATTTATGAGGTTCATTCATGAGCGTGTGTGCAACAAGACCACACCAAATGGAGCTATTTAAATGTTAACACAATAGATAATAAAACTTTTTTCAGTAAATTGCCATAAAACGAAATGAAAAAAAAAACGAAAATGCAAGAAAATCATTAGCAGGGTATTGAGTGTCGATTGTCGCCAGCTGGTTGTAAAATAAAAGACGCACATTGCAAATAATTGAATGATCATCTCTACAAATGAAACGCTCCAATGAACATATGAGTCAATCGACGACAATAATTTGAAATCTCAGATTTCTAGCTCCGCACACAGAATCAGTGATAATATTGAATTAATATCAAGCAGCAAGCAACCAAGTTCACTTAATTATTATTGTTAAATGGAAAAGAGAAAGAGATAGAAAATCACATCGATTGACAACAAATTCATCCGATTAATATCGATTTGAATCGTGCAAACAACATTATCATTACAATGTGCATTCATTATTATTATTATTGTTCTCGCCGGCGCTGCCGCAAATATAATTTGATTAATTCAAATGATTTTCTAAAGTCTTTACCCATCGCATAATTACAACAACAATTTCTCTCAACAAAACGTTTAAGCGTTATATTATATATGTATAAAAGATATGGACGGTTTTTTTTGCTTTTGATCATTTGCCATTCACACAAAACTTGTCACGAAATCAATTTATTGTTCATAGAAAGTTGAGAGTGAGATCGCAAGATCTAAAGCTAATTTCACTAATACATGTGCGCTTCGGTCAAACGTGTTACGGCATCGGCGAACATATGCTTGTGAATGCATGACAATAACGGTGGCGGTGTTGACAACGACGAAAATACCGAATACTTAATGAATTGATATTATTCATTGAATAATAAGTAAGCAATTTTTGCTGTTGTTTGCTACAATCGTCATCGATATTTTACATAAAAACATTGATATCGGTTTGAAAACACATTTTCTTCATGCAACCTTTCAATGGGGGGAAAACTCTGCGTGCATTTCACTTAAAATGCGATGATCAAAATATCAGCCTCAATATCGAAATCAGTATTCGCCAAAACACTCTACAGAAAATAAAGGAGCAAAATTATTTGGATAATGAAAAATTGTGTGTATGAAGCTAAATAAATGTCATCTTTTCTGGTCGTCATCATGATTTTTTTTTTCATTGTTTTGATCCGAAGGAAAGATCAAGATCTCTATTTCCAATAGATGCCAAATTTTATGTGGAAAAAATGCGATCATTTGTTCGTTGACGTATCGTTCGCGTTAAACTACAACTTTACATATATATATATATATAATGTCAAGCAGGTCTTAATTACGATTTAGAAAACAATCGTCTAGCATTCAACAGAAATATGAATGTGTATACAATAATTTTAATAGCTTTGGCCACCTTTTTACGTGACGGAACATTGTTTGTTCAATTAAATTCTGTTTTTTTTTCTCGCGTGCGACTGTGTGTATCGTTTTCAGTCGAATGTTACGCAATTCGGTAGTTGTTTTGCACGAATAAGCAATAATTTTTGTCATCTCGGTTAGTTTTTGAATTAGTCAAAACAATAAACGATAAGTGGTTAATGATTGACTTCAGTTATTAACTGGATGTGGAGATTTTTATCTCTTAATTGCAATTTGGAATCGATTAGTCATCGAATCGATTGTTAGTTGTTGTTAATTTCGGTACTAATTTTCAGCGCGTGTAAATTATATTGATACATTGTCACGGACAATAATTGGAATTTTCCGATTCACTGGAATCTTCCAGCATACCCTATGAACAATATAAAAACCACCATTTATTGGCGCACAATATCAATATTGCATTCGAAGTTTTTTTAACTGTTGTACAAGATTCATCATGCACAATGACTCAATGTGATCACCGAAAATACGACTTATATTTTGAATCGGCTTCATTTTTGTCTGGTTTTTTTTTTTTGGTGAAATAGTACACTTTCAACAAAGTTGTCAAACTAGCTACGCGTTCCAAAATCCTGTTTAGAATCAACTTTCCTTTATCATATCTTCTCATTTCAAAAGCAACTGTTTTTTGGCCTAACCTAACGTTATAGCGCTGACGCAAAATTCTAGACATTTTTTTATATGTTAATTGTATTATTAATGTTATTCTATTGTATATTTACGTTTTTTTTTGTGCATAGATGACGGGAAAAGATCCATTGACACCGGCCTGGAAATTGGATCCGTGCAAAATGGAAGCGCATGGAATTAATAAAGAGATGGTTCGTTTAACTGAAGGTTTGTTGCGCATTTCGTGGACACCAAATCGCCATTCACCCAAGTACAAATTGGTCATTACAACGCTTGGCAAAGGCTATCATTGTAATCAAGGAAAACATCCATGTCTTAAATTTGGGTACGTATCCAATCGCAAGCAATTTTCATACAGATTCGAATCAAATTTGATATTATTTTAAATGTTGTTTAAATAGGCAAGAAACATTATTTTGTGTTTCATCGAGTTTGGTATGTGATGGGATAGCACAATGTCCAGAGGGCGATGAATACAACAGCGATGAGGATCCAGTTATGTGTGCGCAAAAGCGTGGTTTCGCCGATTCAAATGTATGTGGTTTTTTTAAATAAAGAAACAAACATTTATCAATTAATCAAAAATGTTTAATTTATTACCATTTTCTTAATGATCTTCTTTTGTGTATTAATTTGTTTATGATTCAATTTTTAGACGTCATTTGGATTGAGTATTTGGCAACAAATTTCGAAGGAATTTTTCAGTAAATTATATCCTCCTGAAGCAACGACAATAATGCCAACAAAACCACCAACCAAACCAACATCAACGATGCACAGAAAATCGAATAAGGGCGATGACAGCATTGATAATGCAAACGAAGATGACACACCTGACGATTCTGTGATGGAATCATCAACAAAACACTATCGACACATCACACTGTCGAGAGGTTTATCAAAATATGGGCCATGGGGTTACTTGATTCTTGGCATGCTACTTTGTGGTGGCGCCCTTTTAGTCTGTGTACTTTGGGGTAAAGACATGTTTTCATAGCATTTTCACAACATTTCAATTCCATTTTTATTTGATTTTATGGCACACTATCCACACTAACATCACCCATTGCTTTGCGTATAAACATATTTGATCAATACATAAAAGACAAACACAATTTTGATATCAATATCGAAAAGAAGAAAAATCATTCAAATGTGAAAAATCAATCCTTGGGAATTCTCTAACCAAATTGATCAAAAATGTTCGGGAAAAACGAAAACAAACGAAAAACAACAAACTAACACTAATAAAACCTATGCATTTCTCTCTCTCTCTTTCTCTCTTTTACTCAGAATGTTGTTGTAAAAGCGATAAAACGCCATTCTTAACCACATTAGATCCATCTAATATATCGACAATTACAGGCAGCAGTTCAACGGCGAATTACAATGGTACACAACCGGAAACAACGTTGCCGCCAAACTATGATGAAATCGATCCGCCACCATCGTATGCAACCCTATTTCCGGGTAATAAAAATGATGATGCCGAATCAACGAGCACCGGTCAAACAACGACCGCCAACACATCAAACACTTCAATTCAAGATGTTGGTGCTGCTTGTGCAACATCCGACAGCATTGCCAATGGTAGCAACAGTAATGTTCCGCAAGCATCAGCACCGTCTTTGCCATCTTCGTCCAACTCTTTCTCCACACCTTATCCCTCATCTTCTTCGTCGTAGAAATCACAAACAAAGAAATTACGATTATATTTTTTTTTATTTAATTAGACTTTAATTCGATATACAAATCGAACGAAACAGTATGGCAACTGTACTCAATTTAAAAAAAAATTGAGTACCTCGCCAAATAGAATAGAAAATGGATCCATTTCGATTGGTGTTAAATGCATATCACTCGCTCACTTTCGCTGATGTGTGTTATGTCTTGTATAAAATAATAATTAATGAGAAAAAAACGACGACGATGAAAAACAACAAAACAAACTGACTGATTAAACTTAAACGTAAAGTGGGCAGGATGGATTTTGTTTTTAAATTCAAAAGAAATACAGCAATTTTTATTCAAATAGCAATGGCAATATCAAAGATTTATAGAAACTAAACAAATAACTCTCTGTTGAAATGTAGACAGTAGACAATTTTTATTTTTTATTTATTAATTTAAGTTTAAAAAGAATTCTTTGTCTATTTCGTAAAATCGATGAAAAAAGAGAGAAACAATTTCAAATTGATAACATTATAATGCGTGCTATATATATAAAAGCTTGAATTGGTATGCATGACGCGGTTCAAGTTATTGAGTAGCTTTAAAATTTGATGAAAGCAACCAGGACAGAAGAGTTATAATGAATTTTTTTTTGGCACTTCTTCCCGTAAATTTGGCTACATCAATGATTTATTTATCTGTTTGAATTTTGAAATGTATAAACTAATACGAAGACAATTGTTTCTTTAAAAGGGTCATTTCAATTTTTTTTTAAATAGGTTGTTCATCAATCAACTCGATCTTCAATTTTTCTTCCACCATTTTTTTTTTGTCATTTTACAAGCTAAAAGAATTTGAATTTATAATAGACGATTCGCAAATGAATGTATACAAACAAAAAAAAAATACGGCACAATGCAATACATAATTCCGATGAAATGTGATATTGACAACAAAATAAAAAAACAAGAACTACATTTATAAGTAATAAATAATTCAAATTAAATCGTTTTATGCATGTTTTATTTCTTATTTCATTCACCTACCTGACATTTACATTTGTCAAGAACCATTTAAATTTGGCACATTGAGATGACACAATATATGTGTAAGTTTGTATCATTTTTTCAATTGCTAAGCCAAAAAATTGCTTTTAAAATAAAAAATAAGGTAAAGAAAAGCTATAAATGTGCAAGTTGAGTGCAAAGCGATTAACATGTATTTATGATTCGTCTGTTCAGTGCTTCTGTGCAAGCTTTTGCTAGCGAAGAAACTAACCGCTTTAAAAAAAAGCATTGCTTAAAAGTGGCTATAAAGTTTTGAATTGACTACAAATACACAACTACCATAATGACTTCATACAACCATGTGTTTATTGTTGTATAACTAACACAGACAGGTGAGTATCCGACTCATTCAAAGTTTTAACGCGCGTAAGTGTATTGGTTGTGACATCGACTAGAGAATGTTTGGCGAAACCGAATACCAGTTGAATAAAATTTATTGTGTATGTCGGCATACAGCAGTAATGGCAACGTGGTTCGTGTCTATGTTTTTGTTGATATCGAGCAGCTGTGTGAAGCAATGCGGGTGTGCGGTCCATGAATGTTTTTGTGTGTTTTGATGTAAAAAATGCGATCTCGCATCAAACATCCATATATATACGTGTTTGTAGAATAAATGACACGAAAGACACATTCGTTTCGATCATATTGCTCTCTCACGCATTCAAATGCATCAATGTGTGCTGCTGTGTTGTGCGGCAGTGATGACGAGCCATGATGTAGACTCACTGTGTGTTTACTTTTGTTTATTTCTCTTGATGGGATCGGCATTCAATTGAAATATCAATATTTCATGCATTCAGTACATATCAAGTGTATGTTTATATCGTTCGGTTTGGTTTTTTGTTCTGTCTCTCAAATGCTGCTGTGACGGTGTGACAAAGTTTATTTTATTTTACATTAATTTGCTTACTATTCACTTCAAGTGCAACGAAATATTGAACATTTTCAACATTTTTTCACAGTCAATTCGATTACCCGAATGTACCGAATGGTAATTACTGAAAGTGAGTGAGAGTGCACGCGCTGTTTTTAATCAAATGTTATTAAATTGTGTGCGTCATCTAAAGGTACATAGATACCTTTCTCATGGTAATTTCTATTTCAGAAATACATTGAAACTCTTTTGAAATGTTCAAAATTATCAAGCTGACACAACACTGACGTCAATTTGTTGTTCACATTTTGGAAAATCTCACAACTTAATGAATGCCTTGCGCATAATCAATTGTGACGAATCAATCAATCGATCGAACCGATGTTTTCTCGTAATTGATTTTTAACCGTAATAGAATGTGTATTTTTCCGGATTTTGTGCAAAACAATCGCAAAATACTACAATAGAATTTTTTTTCAACGAAAAATAGAATCTCCGCCGATATTTTCGTTTGGGTCATATGTTGAGTGAGGTCAGCGCGGAAAATCTATCTGTAATTGTCGAAGTTTTCGAAATGAAACGAACATAAAATAGAATAAACAAACGAGTCGAATAAATGAGAACCATGTTAAAATAAATGCATCAATATATGGAAATTTTTTGTGTTGCGCGAAAGTTACAGTTATCATCACCGGGTGACTAAATTTCAATTTGCATTCTTTGACGATGATGTAAATTCGAATAGCGGTAGGTTGTTGTTTTTTTAAGCATATTTTCTGCTTTCGCCAGCAAATTTCGCAAGAGATAAACATTTTTATGATTCACAAACGCGTCAACAAATTTCGATGTTTTCGTCACAATAATAATGCTTTTGATGCACCTTATACCGTATTCTACACATGCCACATTGTTTATATTTCGCAGTATTTTTTGTTTTCATTATATCAACTACAAAGTAAGAGACAGTCAAATGAAAGAGGCAGATAGACAGGGAGCGAAGGAGAGAATAAAAGAAAGAATTTGTGCGTGAACAACGATAAATTTGCACAATATTCATTCTATTCATAATCGAGTCAAAAGAAAAATATGCAGAGCGAACAAACGCATAAATTTGCATTAAATAGTTGGAGGCGAGAGCGAATAAAAGATTCGCTACATTGGCACATTGACAGGGAGAAAAAGAGCAAGAGAAAGAAAGAAATGAACGAGCATTTAGATTCCGATGCTCAGAGATGCAGATAACAGAAGTAACTAATATTCAGTTAGAGATAGACACAGAGAGAAAAGCAGAAGGAGCGAATGATAAAAATAAATGAATAGAGAAAAATTAAAAAAAAAAACGCCGAAGGTATGAATAGAAAAAATGCCAACAATTAAAATTAACAAAAATTTAAAAAAAAAGAGATCGCCGATTGAACGAAAGAGATGAACGCAAAGAGAAAAAAAACACAAACAAGTGCATATTCCATTCGGTATGCATAAGCACACACATCAACGTCAGCTTGAAGCGTTTTTAGCGCAATGTTAAAATGCGTTGAATTATATCGCATATTCTCATTCGCTTTCAAAAATGAAAGAAAAAAGATCAGCCGCCAAACCGAACAGCCAACAGCGCAACAAAAAAAAAATGAAATTTTTCGCGCTAATCTTGAAATGATTTTGTTTTTGCTTTTTGATTAAAATCATCGTTTTGTGATTGGAAATTACTTCATTTCATTTATTTTCGCATGTATTGCAAAAAACGCGCCTCTTAATCAATTCACAACGCTCACACCGTTACCCGCTCCCCGCGTCGAAAACAAATTCAAGCAATGTTTAAGTTATGATTATCGTCGTTGTGCCATGCTTCTGTGTGTTTTCTTAATGCGCTATGACTTCACTTCTTTGCACTACACTCACACACATACAACAGCAGCAGCAACAACTAACCAAATAAACCGTTTGAATTCAAAGTGTTTTTCGTTTTTTTTTAATGAATTTTCCAATTGAATAGATTCTGTTTGCGGCAAGCTCTTCTGTGTTATTCAAAATGTTTCTTTGTTTTTAGAGTAGTTTCAAAATTGGCGCATTTTTGCTCTTTTGTAAGATTAGATGGCAATTGTTCGCTTCATTCTCCTCCTCATACATCTGTAATGAACGTTTAGTATGCCCGTGCGCTTGATGTTCTTTTTTTTTAAATCTCGTTGTCGTTACGGATTTGTGATTTTTGTGTTTAACATAGAAAATATAACAAACGCACCGCAAAATCTGAATTGAAAATTCTTTTCATTGAAATCTGACCATTTTCGGCATTTTCGATATTGTGCATTTTAACAAATTTCCACGGTGAGCGCGCGCCCGTGCCAACAACTAAAAAAAACTTTTGATTTCCATTTAAACGCTTTCCATGATGAAGAGAAATTTTTTTTTGTTAGCGCAGGCTTGTATGGAATATAACCGGTTATAATGCACAAAATTTCTTATTCACAACGGGCATGGACTTGCGCTCATCGTCTTGTCGACGGTCTATTTATTCATTTAAACATCCAGCGCAACATGTCCATCCATTTATCCATATTGATTGCATTGTTTATCATCGACAAAGAGGCGGCCCCGTCAAATTTGAGTACCGCTATTAAAATCGCATGCTTGCCGTTGTTGCTTTTCAGCTGAAAAACCACAAGAGGACAGAATGAAAATGTGCGCATACAGCTTGTTTTTGTCGAACTTGTTACTCGCCGTGTGTTGTCGTTATCCGCGCCCGCGCATCAGCGACCGAATAAAATCGTTTTTTTTAATGTAAAAACAAGGGGTACTTATCTATTTATGAGAACATATTACGAAATTTGGTACCAGAAATATTCGCGGAATTTTCTTATTCTTTATTGAATTCAAACAGAATAAGCAAATTTGGTCGTTGCTCGAAAAATGCGCAAATCAAAGATGAATTTGATGTGATGTGGTTGAGAACCATGCCCCTAGAGATAAAAAAAAAACGACAACGAAGTAACGAAACAACTTTTGCACATGACACAAACCATATACACACAATCGGGCACATATGCTCAACATGTAAAATGTGATTTAAGTGGCTAATTTTGTGTGCGCATAAAAAGTATCCAGAAAATATGCCATCCAGTTCAGCGAAATTGTACATAAGTCACCTTTGAACCGAATCATATTCTGTTGCACCTAATTTACGTTGCACAGTCCAACACAACGATCACGCATATATTATGCTAACTTGTTTACCGTGCAGTGGAAAGAGAAAGAGAGAAAACAAATTGGCTTCTTTACCCATTTCTTTTCTACATCTTTTATTACACTTACTTCAGTCATAAATTGTTGGAAAGCAGCATAACATGCAAATTGACAAGCAAAAAATGTTAAACAGATACGAAATTTCGACCGAATTTTAGTTTTTGCGCAATCATATTTTTTTGAATTTTTCGAAAGATTCTGAATATGAATTTGATCGTCATTTTGTGTGATCGTGTATGATGAGGAATTTTCGTGCATAAAATTCAAAATGTATGAAATTGCGCAATTTGCGTAAAATGAAAAACAAAAATCCGACAACAAATCGCCAATCGAGGCCACATCAAAATCTAATGTCTTTTTGAGTGTTCTTTTTTTCGCCTCCTCACGTACAAGTTGTGATTGGGTCAAAATGGACTATGTGTGCTATGCTTGTGTGTAGGTTTCTTATTCTCTGTGGCAACCACAATAAAGCAGATCGGCTGACTGACAAGACAGCACACATATTACACATATTTTTCGCACTCGATTTTAGCAGCAGCCAACACACAGAGCAGCCATCAGCATGATCATCATAGCAAAAATAGCAGATGAATAGCGAACAACATGTACAAAATGATCTTTGAACGATTTCAATGGTACATAACATGCACATAAAACCCATACACACCAAACATACCAAACATTCCGTTGGTCTTCAGCATCAATGACCGTAGTAGTTTTGCGCGAACGTTTTGTCTCTCGGTGTAATCATAAATTTTTAAGTCGCGTAGTTCTACATATTTTTGCGCTGGTTGTCTTTAAATTTGACACAGCGTCACCGTGCATACACATACATGCCATCACACATACAATCGTCTCTTTCTCCTTTGATTGCGTGACCACGTACCAACCTCTGTACGATCACCGTGTCTTTGTAGTCAATGCAGACTTTAACATGCGCGCTCTCGCGTAGCACCAATGTTGTGCATGTGTGCGTTTTAAAATAAAATCGAAACAACACAAGAAGAAAATGAAAAAGAAGAAGACAAAAAAGTCATGAGAAAAGAAACGTAAAACAAACGAACGAAAAAAATAATATATGGTAAAACGCAAAGATCAAGAAGCGAAGCGAATAAGATCGATAAGCCGCCAGCAATGGAATGGCAGCAAACGAAAAGAGATAGCACAACCACTTGAAGATGTAGACAAAGACGTAAAATATTGTGCTCAAATGATCACGGAATTGAGCGAGCTAGAGCGGTTGAACGAGAGAACGAAACAAGTAGTAAATACCGTGCAATCCAAAGTCATAATATTTCGTATCGAAAACTTGAATCTTGCACGATTTTGAACAGTCGCGACTTTAATTCGGCCTAATGAAGAAGTGTTCCTCTCGTTCGGCACAAAGTGGAGTTTCTTGTTTGTTTATTATTATTGTTATTAGTTCATTTTGTGTTGTCTTTCCATAAATACCCATCAACTCGGTACATGTTCTTTACTGAATTCTCTAGAATTGTATTCGCTCTTTCTCTGGTGTTGTTTTTTTTTATCATTTAAATATAGAGTTCTTATTTTTTCACATCTTCTTCTACTAACAATAGTTCTGTTGTTGTCGTTTTTTTATCGTGTGTACTTTTCCTGGCATTTTTTTAAACTGTGCGCTATCGATTATTACAAAATACTCTAGAGAAATTTAATTTTCGTTGTCGTTAATAAAAAAAAAAAAAAACAAGATAAAGAAAGACAAGAGTAGTCAAAGTTTTCCGTAAAAAAAAATATGTGCACTACTGCAATCGAATGAAAAAAAAAACGAGAGATAAAATATTTTCATTCAACAAAATTTATGTAATGCGGTAACAAATGCGAGGCTATTTAGTTTCCATTTCGAGTTCGGTGCGCGTGTTGACAAATTGATCGATTATTTCCCACGGAAACGATGAAAAAAAACGAATAGAAAAAAAACGACGAAGAAAACCCAAATCGAAAGCAAAAGTTA